ATAGTGATTAGTGTGGAGTGCAGTGAAACACCAAGAAAGATGAGTCCTGAAAGCCAGGCAGTGGGGTCAGCCATCAGGTGGTCATGGCCAGCTTTGTAGGACTCTCAGCAGAGTTACAGGGGTGGAAGCCAGGTTATAGTACACTATGATGTGGTCAGAAGATGGGGAAGTGGAAATGTTTTCTTTGAATTGTTTTTCTAGTAGAATGGTTTGCCATTTCATCTGCTCTCTGCCCTGTTACTCATGGAGATGTAGGTCACCCAATTTTTGAAAACAGCTGGCTGGGCTTTAAAGGGTGCAGGCCCTGGGCTTTGAACAGTGTTTCTCTTTTCAAAGACAACTGGCCTCTACAGAGTTTGCATCTGCAACCTTGATCTGCCAGTTAGAACCTTACTTTGGTCAGCTGAATTAAAGAAAGATTTAGACTCATAGTGTAGTAACTGGAAAGGCTGCATTAAATGTAAATAAAACGGAATCCTCAAACTTGACAAGCTTATTGGTCGAGACATGAGTCTTAAACAGCTCCCCTTTTCTGTACTCTCTCTTCCCTTTTAGTGCTTCTTCCTTTTTAGTGCTTCTAGGCCTCCTATGGAGGCCCCAGGTGAACTCAGTGGCAGAAAAGAGTAGAAGGATAGAGAGGACTGAAAAACAAACCAATTTGTCCACATTTCAGCCAGAGGTTCATTTTGTGCTAAGCTACCAGGGCTGCCCACTAGTTTCTTCTATGGCACATGAAATTATTTTAACTTAAAACAATCATTGCAAATATCTCCCTCCTTTCTACCCTGAGAATAAGTTCCCCATAGAAACAGAGCTATCTGTGCCAAAACTGTAAAATGTAGCCTTCTAAATCAGAAATGCTGTCGAAAGAGCCTATTTTTAATGGATAAAACAGATTTTTATCTAGAGTACAATTGATTTCCCCCACACTGATTCTACTGCCAAGTTTCCTCAGCTGTTTTTGATTGTTAAATACATTGGAATCACTAGAGTTCAGTATTGCTCTAACACATTCGGTTGTCTTAAATCCTTAAGTAACCATATATGTATAAACGCTCATAAAATTTTAGCTGGTGTGAATTTAGGTAGACATAGAGACTCTTAGAGAAGCCAGGCATCAGCTATACCAGCTCCTAAGTGATACTTGTACCAACTGCTAATTCTCTCCACAGCCACCAGAAAACACATTTTTCAGGGTAATTTGAATTAGTGTTTGGAGCACTAAGAGGAAAAAAAAAATTCTGTGACAGGTTGCATCTAGCATTGATTTTATGTTTTGTACTTTCATTTGACCTAAAATACTATTTTTTAAAGTTTCTTAAACCACAGAAATAAAAAATTTAAAAAAGTTTGAGGGCCGGCCGAGTGGCGCGATGGTTAAGAACTGGCTTGGGACGCCAGAGGGCCCCGGTTTGGATCCCACATATGAGGGCCAGTG